CGGCCCCACTGCCAGCAACCGTTTAAGATAATGACCAACACAGAGAGTTTAAGACACTGAGTGAACACACGTGGGCTGTTACTTGTCAGTAAGGCGGCAGACTCCCACGACCGCAAGCATGCGTCTGTGTGCACATGTCTCAGTTTCAACAGACAGCTGCAGGTGACCTGTCCCACGCTGCCAACTGCTCTTGGCAAGGTCCACGAGCCGCCACAATGACCAACCTCGACAGCCTATTGAAAAGCAGAGACATCACTGTGCTGACAAAGGTCCATCTAGTGGAAGCTCTGTTTATCCAGTAGTCATGTATGGATGTGAGGGCTGGACCATAAGGAAGCCTGAGCGCCGAAGAATTGATGCTTTTGAACTGTGGTGTTGGAGAAGACTCTTGAGAGTCCCTTGGACTGCAAGGAGATCCAACCAGTCCATCCTAAAGGGAATCAGCCCTGAATATTCACTGGAAGGACTGATGCTGAAGCTTCAATACTTTGGCCACCTGGTGAGAAGAGCCGATTTATTGGAAAAGACCCTGATGCTGGGAAAGACTGAAGGTAGGAGGAGAAGGAGACAACAGAGGAGGAGATGGTAGGATGGCATCACCTACTTGATGGATGTGAGTCTGAGCAAGCTCTGGGAGACGGTGAAGGATGGGGAAGCCAGGTGTGCTGCAGTCCAAGGGGTTGCCAAGAGTCGGACATGACTGAGCAACTGAATACCACCACCCAATACCCCTTTGATTAAATCCACATCACCCATATAGTCACTACTCTGCATATTTGTCCTCCTCACACAAAGGGGCAAGGTTGCTCCAAGAACCTCAAGGGAGCAACACCGATGAACAGATTTCAGTGAAAGTCTCCCATGTGCCAGGCCCTCCTGTGAGAGCAGCTCGCAGCCCAGTTGAGGAGACGCCTGAGTCAACAATGACAGCACTGGGCACACAGGACAAGCCCCGGTTTTCGAAGGCTGTGGGGTGCAGAGGAGCAGCACCTGCAGTGGAGACGAGAGAGATGGGGGTGGGGGGAGGCAGGGAGCCTCAGGGGTCGCCCGTAACATAGATCAAGGCTCCTGAGAAGGGTGGTGCGGGATACCGGGGAAGCGGTAAACATCGCCCCAGGTGTCTCTAGGGTGTCTCCCCGAGATTCCTACTTGAATCAGTGGACTGGGTACAGCCCACTGGGTGTGGGCACCACACACAGGGCTGCCTGGCTGGGACAGCGGCAGGGACCTCCGAGAATGAAGCCCCCTCGTCGTCTGCCTCCTCGTGCTCCCTGGGGGCACCAAGCGGGCGGCGGGAGGTGCTTGCGGAGCCGACCTGCAGGAGGTCACCCCAGGCACCGAGTCCAGGGACTAGCCGGGCGCACTCTGAGCAGGGAGGGCCTCTCCTTCACGAGCTAGGTGTCGCTCTGGGCTCCTGCAGCCTCCGCAAAATGACTAATGCCCTGGCAGAGATCTCCAGGTTGCCCTCAAAGTCAAACCCGTAACTGCTAATCCTGTGAGGGCCACACAGAGGTCTCCTGCTTTCTCAGAAGCTCGGCAGAACAGTATGTGACGCAGACGAGACAGCGTCTCCTGTGTTGCAAAGACCCTTTAGCCGCTTCCTGCAGGTAAAACACATCACCTCACTCACGGCTGAAACTCTCTGGCAGTCAGCTCCTACCTCTTGGGTGGCTTCTGAATTCTCACCAAACCCCCTTCTCTGCAAGCAGGCCCTCCTGGGGGCCGGGGCTGGGAAGGAGAGAGGCATGGAGGGCAGACCCAGGCCTGGGCAGCGACTAGAAACGCTGAACGGACCGCAAGGGGGCCGAGAAGCTCCGTGACGGAGCTGCAGCAGGGGCGGCCGCCCACAGAGCCCGTCGTCTGCCGCCGGTCCCCTGGCTGGCCGGCCCAGCCCTCCAGTCTCCACTGTCCCTCCCATCCCGTGATCCCACCACACTCCCCCTCCTGTGGGCCTAAGGCAGCTCAAGCTGGTTTCTGAAAAACGCACCTAAAGACCGTGGGTATGCACTGAGACCTCTGGGCTCTGCTCACTCGGGGCCAGTGCCCTCCTCACGCATCTCAGCGGCCAGCCTTCGCCCGGGGCGTCTCAGCCCTCCTCACGCGTCTCACGGCCAGCCTTCGCCCGCGGCGTCTCTCAGCCCTCCTCATGCATCTCAGCGGCGAGTTTACACCTAGGGCATCTCTCAGCCCTCCTCACGTGGCTCACGACCAGCCTACGCCCGGGGCGTCTCTCAGCCCTCCTCACGCATCTCAGCGGCCAGTTTACACCTAGGGCATCTCTCAGCCCTCCTCAAGCGGCTCACCGGCCAGCCTACGCCCGGGGCGTCTCTCAGCCCTCCTCACGCATCTCAGCGGCCAGCCTACGCCTGTGGCGTCTCTCAGCCCTCCTCATGCGTCTCACGGCCAGCCTACGCCCGTGGCGTCTCTCAGCCCTCCTCACGCATCTCAGCGGCCAGTTTACACCTAGGGCATCTCTCAGCCCTCCTCACGCGGCTCACCGGCCAGCTTACGCTCGGGGCGTCTCTCAGCCCTCCTCACGCATCTCACAGTCAGCCTATGCCCGTGGCGTCTCTCAGCCCTCCTCACGCGTCTCACCGGCCAGTTTACCCTCCTCACGCGTCTCACGGCCAGCCTACGCCCGTGGCGTCTCTCAGCCCTCCTCACGCATCTCAGCGGCCAGTTTACACCTAGGGCATCTCTCAGCCCTCCTCACGTGGCTCACGGCCAGCCTACGCCCGTGGCGTCTCTCAGCCCTCCTCACGCATCTCAGCGGCCAGCCTACGCCTGGGGCGTCTCTCACACAATGTGTCTGCTTCACTGCAATGACTTCTTGCTCAGCTCGACCATCAGGCCCTTGGGAGGCGAGGTCAGATACTCGTGTGCTGTCCACACGCCTCATCTCGGCACTCTGCCCAGTCACAGGATTCGCTGAAGGACATGGCGATCTGCCCAGATGGGAAGACTGATGACGAGATGGTGGTGGTGTGGGTTCTTGAGTGTTTGCAGGAGGCCTGCTGTGAAGCATGGAATCTGCATGTGTAAACATGACAAGGAATTGCTCACTCGAGAACCCCCCGCCTCAGTAAGTCAACTCCACAGTCCCCCTGCTGGAGGCCTCTATCTTAGACCTGCTGGCACAGTGTAGAATGGGGAGGGGTGGGGGGGGGAGTCCATTTTTTAATATTCTTGCCTGATGGCTTTTAAATAGGTAAATCTCTATTTTACCTAGAATGCTCTACAGTGGTGTGTTAGTTGCTCAGTCGTTTCTGACTCTTTGTGACCCCATGGACTGTAGCCCACCAGGCTTCTCTGTCCATGGGATTCTCCAGGCAAGAGTACTGGAGTGGGGTGCCATGCCCTCCTCCAGGGGATCTTCCTGACCCAGGGATCAAACCCAGGTCTCCCACATCGCAGGCAAATTCTTTACTGTCTGAGCAGAGTCTAGTCTAGAGTCATTCTGCGGATTCTAAACGATTATGGCCATTCTTTCTCTAATGTACACACAGAAGCAACATCGGAGGTAAAAATTAGTTGCTTCGAGGGGTTGAGAGCTCCTGTAAGTGCAGCATCCTTCTTTCTTGTTTTCATTTTCGTGATGAGGGATCACGTTGGAACAGTTAGGAAGTTTGCAGATGCTGACAACGAAAGCCAATGAGTAACAAAGAACTTACTCCATGACTTAAGCTTTTGCTGGAAGATAATTCTAGACTGAGTTCAAAGCTATAGGCACTATGATCACAGCACATGAGTATTAGTTCCCCAGTGCTGAGGGTTTACCACCTCCCGGTGACACAGCTGAGCCGTCACAGGAGGGTCGGGGGAACGGAGCACGGGGGGCTGCTGGATCTGCTGAGCGGGCGGAGCCTGGGGAAGTCGCCTCCTCGTCTGCGACCCCGTCTATGACGAGGCTGCCGCAGGACAGCCTGTGAGACGGCTCTGTGGAGAAACCCCCCGAGACCAAGAAAAGGTGCTCTCAGCCCACCTCAAGACGATGCCCTCACGTCGCGGGGCCCAAAGGGAAGTCTCAGGACCAGCTCACAGCACTCCCCTGGCTGAGTCTCCTGGTCCAGGACGAGTGGAGTGCCAAAGGCCAGCATCACAGATGTGCCTACCACCAACTCAACTACAGCGAGTGGCAACAAGAGAAAAAGGACACCGAGAGACAGCTTCCCATGTGGTGCCCTCCTGGGGGCTTCCCCGTGAGTGTGACAGCAGGTCTTCTGTGACCCCTGGGACCCTGTCTCCAGCAGACGCTGTGAGCCTCCCTGCCTCCAGGCTGGTGCTCAGGCCACTTCCTCCATAGCCCGCCTCTCCTGTTCCTCTCTGCTAACTGAGAAGCCTCAGATCCTTTGCTGCCCCCTCCTCAAGACGTCCTGCTCCTGAAGGTGGTCTCCAGTCACCCCAGTCTGGAGCGAGTCTCACACTTGGCTGAGTCCTCCCTGTGGTGACGTGTCACTTACCACCTTGTAGTAGCTTTCATGTTCTGGTTCACAATCTTTATTAACTTTACCCAAAGCAGGATCTTCCATCACCTACTGGATATACTCCTTGAGAGTAGCGATTACATGGCACCCAAAACAGTGATGGGGAAACAAATTCACAGCTGTTTGACCTCCTGACCTCGGGCAGGTCATGGAGACTAAAGAAGAGAACCTACATGCGTGCATGCTAAATCGCTTCAGTCATGTCCCACTCTCCGTGACTCATGGACTACAAGCCCCCCAGGCTCCTCTGTCATGGGATTCTCCAGGCAAGAACACTGGAGTGGGTTGCCGTGCCCTCCTCCAGGGGTCTTCCCGACCCAGGGATCAAACCGGCATCTCTTATGTCTCCTGCGTGGGCAGGCAGGTTCTTCACCACTAGTGCCACCTGGGAAGCCCAAAGACGGGAGCATGCACCCCCATCGCTCTCACTCATGGCCCATTAGGAACCGCACCCCCCGCCCCCCCACCCCCCGGCCTGCTTTGCTCACTGCTGGTCAGGCAGCCGCGCGGACTTACAAACGCTGATGGCAGGAAGAGGACGCCGAGCTCATAGGAGCGGATCATCAGCTGGGTGCCATTCTTCTCCAGTGCGCCCCAGGCGGCCTTAGACAGGTTGGCACTGCAGGGACAAGCACAGAGGGGGACTCGGTGAGGCGTCTCAGCGAGGGTCAAACCCCCCCAGCGGTGAGGGCAGTGGTCAGCGCCCAGAGCCCCAGTCGTGTCCGTTCAGCTTCCGGCAGGGTCCCGTGTTTGGGGAAAAGTGAAAGTGAAGTCACTCAGTTGTGTCCAATTCTTTGTGACCCCATGGACTGTAGCCTACCAAGCTCCTCCGTCCATGGGCTTTTCCAGGAATGTAAATCCTGCTATGTTACAATCTTCAAGGTTTACCCAACTGCCCGAGACAGTTTCACCCTCATCTGCGTTTTCCCTTGAGGGAAGGCTATTAAAATAATCAGACTTCCTTAGAAAGATTCCACCCCCACCTTCCTATGAAAAACCCTTCCTGTTCAAGACCCTGCTGTAGCCCTAGCCAAGATGTCTGATGTTGTTGTACATAAAAGCTGCACTTAAGAAAAAATTAAGTCAAGGATATGGAAGTCAAACTACAATGAGCAACCCATACCTGGCAATGTGTGGGTGCTAAGTCACTTCAGTCATGTTCGACTCAGTGTGATCCTGTGGACTGTAGCCCGCCAGGCTCCTCTGTCCATGGGATTCTCCAGGCAAGGATACTGGAGAGGGTTGCCATTTCCTCCTCCAGGGGATCTTTCCGACCCAGGGACTGAACCGATGTCTCTTATGTTTCCTGCATTGGCAGAAGGGTTCTTTACCACTAGTACCACCTGTGAAGCCCCCATACCGCCTGGAAAGCTCTGTCAATGGCTATTGTCAAAAAGACTACAAATAACAAATTAAAGTTGGTGAGGATGTGAGGAAAAGGGAACCCTGGTGCAGTGTTGGTAGGAATGTAAACTGATGTAGTCACTATGGACACAGTATGGAGGTTCCTCAAAAAACTAGAAACAGAACTGCCATAAGACCCAACAAACCTACTCCATTATTTATAATAATCAAGCTATGGAAGCAACACAAGTGCCCACTGCAGATGAACAGATAAAGATGTGGTGTGTTATGTAAATACACAATGGAATATTACTCAGTTGTGAAAAAGTGAAATTTTGTTGCCATTTGCACCAACATGAATGGACACAGAGGGTATTATGCTTACGAAGTTAAACACAGAAAAATACGGAATGTTATGACTTCTGTATGGAATCTAAAAATAAGAAACAACTAAATATACCAAAATAGAAACAGACACAGATACAGAGAACAAACTAGTGGTCCCAGTCGGGGAAGAGGAGGGAAGGGGCAAGACTGGAGAAGGGGATTAAGAGGTACCAACTGCTACGTACCAAATAAAGAGACTACAAGGATACACGGTATGGGCTTTGTAAAGAATCCGTCTGCCAATGCAGGAGACTCCAGTTTGATCCCTTGTCAGGGAAGATCCACTGGAGGAGGAAATGGCAACCTGCTCTAGTACTCTTGGCTGGAGAACCCCATGGACAGAGGAGCCTGGTGGAATCTTCCCAGACCAGGGGACGAACTCACGTCTCCTGCATTAGAAGGCAGATTCTTAACCACTGGGCTACCAGGGAGGTCCTAGAGACACTATCTTATAACAAACTATAGATCAAGTATAATCTATAAAAATACTGAATCACTATATTATACCTGAAATTAATATGACTCTACTATACTTAAAAAAAAATTATGTCAATATCATTTTACAGAGTTAGTAAGATGATAAGATAAACATATTCCCTTTCCTGCTAATTTTTACTTTCAGTCAAAAGAAAACAGCATCATGTTTTATGCAGATTAAGAGCTGTTGGATATGGCTGGAATCGCGGTGGAAGGAAGGAGGCGCCTGGGACCAGACCAGAGGGGAGGTGCCAGGGCAAGCAAGGCACCAGGAGCAGAAATGAAAAGGCTCTGAAGCATCTTTGCAAACTCCCCTGCAGCAAATAGGGCCAGAACCTCTCATCCAAAAATTGATTACTCGCTGGAAACATTTTTTCAATTAGGTTCACCCAAATTCTATTTTTAGAATGGAGAGAAAACCTCAGCTATTCAGACCCTTAAAGCCTGACTTCATCGGGTAACAGGATATTTAAGGATTCACTTGCTGGGGCATCAGCTATTCTCTTGAGCCGTGGGCCGGAACTGTTGCTGTGGGAATCCAAGTCATGGAGAAACAGGCACCAGAGAGATGAACAGAACCGTTTCTGGTCAGGGTGCTACGGGAACAGACAGGAGAAGCAGAGAAAGCAGAGCTGAGGGAGCTCTTACCGCAATTAAGCCACAACGTCAAAACACAGAAGTGTATTCTCAGACCTCCTGCCCTCCTAAACGGACCAGGGGAAGCACAGAAGTGTATTCGCAGATCTCCCACCCTCCTAAACGGACCAGGGGAAGCACAGAAGTGTATTTACAGACCTCCTGCCCTCCTAAACGGACCAGGGGAACTTGCTGTGATGCGTAGGAGCCACAGTCATGAACATCACCATCTGCGATGTGTCGCGAAAACGTAAAAAGGAGCGGAAGTGGGAAGCTGACAACACAGTGATGACTCTAGGAAAAAATATGGCTTCTCAGAAGTCCAAGATGACAGCTTGCTCTTATTTCTCTTGCTTGTTAGTAATCTGAAGTGACCCCCCAGGCAGAGACACAGGCTTTAATGGCAAAACCAACCAGTGTGAGGTGGAAACCATCTTCCTGTGAATTTTTTCCGGACTTTCTAGATTATCACCGCCTGGTAACTCTTTCCACGTGTCAGCACAGCACCGCAGGCTAAAGGCACTTTCTGGAAGGCTAATTTCCACTCTTCCCTCTTTAGTCTCATTTTCCTCAACATCCCAAGATTTGAGGGCTTATTCCAAGATAAACATCAATGGAGACCATGAGGACACCTCTTCAGATGGTCTCTTCCAGGCCTCCTTTGTATTTGGCTTCTAACAGCCAAATGGGTGTTCATTGGAAGGACTGATTTTGAAGCTGAAATTCCAATACTTTGGCCACCTGATGCGAAGAGCTGACTCATCTGAAAAGACCCTGATGCTGGGAAAGATTGAGGGCAGGAGGAGAAGGGGACGACAGAGGGTGAGATGGCTGGATGGCATCACCGACTCGATGGGCATGAGTTTGAGTAAACTCCGGGAGTTGGTGATGGACAGGGAGGCCTGGTGTGCTGCAGCCCATGGGGTCACAAAGAGTCAGACATGACTGAGCGACTGAACTGAATGACCAGAGCTCAGCTGTGGTCGATTCTCTGCCATGGCCCGCAGAGTGTGGCTGTTAAGAGATCTGATCTCAGCCCACAACATGGGAATTTTGTCCCACGGCTTAAAGCTTGAAGAATAAATTTAAACTAATAATGTATAATGGACAATTCATAGAAGAAAGCTCAGCAAAGCACAGGAAGGCCGTGGAAGGGACACAGAGAAGAAAGGAAGGGCCGTGCTGAGAGCAGGGTCCTGCACCCCAACCCTGGGAGAGGACATTGCCCCCAGTGACACCTGAGAGCACCCCTACTCCTCCCTGGCCTCAGCTTCTGACCTCTAGAATGCGGGGTTTCAGCCCACGAGCCCAAACATCACTTTCTAGACAACAGCCAACAATGACTAGAGGCATCCACGCTCACCTCTAACGAGATCAATCTCTTCATCTATATACTCCAACCACAATGATAAAATCCACACTATCCTGCTGGGAAAACAGCCATGTGAGAGGAGAAGGTGGCAACGGAGGTGATCTCTGGGACAACTCTGCCGTGTGCCTCTAAAGGCCGAGCACCTGGTAACAGCAGCATCAGCAGCGTCCATCACCTCCAACCCTGGCCTGAGCCCTGGAGCAGCTGGTGGAGCTGAAGATTCTGTTCGAAGGCGTCTGAATCGCCGAGGACGACTGCTGCTCTGGGAAACGTGTCCTCTGATGCAACGTTGCTTTCATCGTTGGTCCTTGATCTTTCATCGCTGGACCTCTGCCCCCGTGCAGAGATGCCCAACAGGTTGAGCTTTTAGCCACACCTCTGGGGTGGGGGGCAGATGCCATAAACAGACGGTGGACAGCGATGCAGCAGCTGGGTGACGAGGGTGGCAAGGACACACTCGGGCTCGAGCTGCGGTCTCGCTGTCCCCACACGCCAGCTGCCTGCCTCTCTCTCACACACAGGCCGCCGCGCATCACAGCCCACTTCACATCTGTGGTGGGCTTCCCTGTTCTGAACCTGAGCTGTTTCTTTGTGTGTACTGAGAAACATGCTTTGCAAGGAATATGGAAAGACAGTTTCACTGCAAAGGATGTGAAACTGGATGAGTATATGCAAAGAAATCATCTTTAATTCTGATGGATTCTGTTGCATTTCTAAACCTACATTTAATTCTGTGAATTTTCTACTTGTAAATTACGTCATCAGTCTTTTTTATTAACGTACAGTGTGCCTCAGTTTCCTGCTGCTGCTCTAACAAACTGCCACAAGTTCACTGGCTTAAAGCACCGCCAATCCTTGATCTCACCCTCTGGAGATCAGGCTGGATGGGTCCTGCTGTGCTAAAACAAGGCATCGGCAGCTTTCCTTCCTTTCCCGCAAAACCTCTGCTGTCTGCCTTCTACTCAAATAACACTCTTAAGTGCAAAAGCCCGCTGGCTTTCCATATTCCTTAGTCTTCTAGACCAGTGGTTCTCACTGGGGGTGACTTTGCCCTGAGGGGCACTGAGCAATGTCTGGGGACATTTTCTAGAGGTCAGGAATGCTGCTGGACACGCAGCAGCACACGACGGCCCCGGACGCCGGGGTGCCACAGCTGAGCGTCTGCTCCAGACCGCTCTGCTGCAGGGCGGTCTTCCTCTTCCGCCTCTGGCTTCCTTGGCTTCCTCTCTGTGACTCTCCTGGTTCTCTCTCAGCTTCTCTCACATTTGCTGCTCTTTCCACCCGGTACCATAGCCTCAGGAGTCTGAGCAAACTCCAGGAGGTGGTGGAGGCCTGGCGTACTGCAGTCCCTGGGCCGCAGAGTCAGACCCAGCTGAGTGACTGAGCGATGGCGGCCGTGCCCT